GGCTCCTCTTCTTTGCGTGAGGGCACTGGGGGGGGGGGGGAGGAGACGAAAAGCCACACGCAAGGCGGCCACAAGGAAAAACTGCCGCCCCTTCAGTAGCACCAGAGAATAACAACAACGACAAAAGAAGAAAGGAAAGGAAAAAGATAGGTACTGCACCTCTCCACACGCGTGACACTTGGTAAAGAATGAGAGCTAAGCCCGTGTGTCTCTCTCGCCCTCGCCGCGTGTGGTGAGGCGCAGGGTGTGTACTGTTGCCTTGCCTCTCCTTCAGAACTCCTTGCAACCCCCGCCGTGATGAGGGTGATTTGACAGTAAAAAGACGGAATAAAAGAAGCGACCAAGAGACGCATACGCACAGAATGGGGAATTCAAGTAGAAACTATCGTCTCCCTCTCGTTGTTTAGGAAAAGAGAGGCAACATGCGAGGACGCTTGCGGGTTTCCTCGCTTACAGGCAATGAGAGACACATTCCGCTTCCCCATCACATTGGTCCCCTCACCCACCGCCTGCATGCGCAGCGGCAGACCTCCCACCAGTGCAATAGACACACATATATACATCTGTGTGCGTGCACGTAGGCAGACGGGTGCGCCGCCACCCCCCAATCGAAAGTGCGGGAACAAAAAATGCAGGCGGAAGAGAAGGAGGGGGGCGATACGAAGAAAAGAAGCAGTACGCATCGCCCCGAAGAAAAACACATACGCACCCACATGCCCACACGCCTCCCCCCTTCACAGACGCATGGAAACACATGAATCCACAGAGGCAAAGCAGTTTTTAGAGGCGTGTTGCGCCGGCTCAATGGCCCGGGCAGAAAAAAAAAATGAGTGAGGCGTGAGCCACTCCGTTCATATGTCGCACTGCCGCATTTTACTTCGCCGCCGCCCCCAATTCACACCAAAGAAAAATAACAAAACACAATAGGCATCCCTCCTCGCGATGGGATCGCATGAAAAACTCTAGTAGCCTTGTGCATGGTGAACGGCTTTTGCCGCGCAGTAAGGCGCGCACACACAAGCGACTTCTATGATGTCACTGTATCCCCTGTGACGGGCAACGCTGCGGAATGCGAGAGCACTTGCACTGCACTCAGCCGCATCCTCTCTTCTGTAGTTTTTTGTTAAGTTTTTTTTTCATTTTTACTATTACTTTTTTTCTTTTTCTTTTTTCGCTGACTTCCTTGCCTTGCGGCCCAACTCACTGACAGTGGGCCATGCGCAGTGTCTCTGCGCCGTCCAAGTGTGACACTCTTTCTCAGAAGGAAAAGAAAAAAAACAATAACAACGACGAACAACGAACAACAAACACAAACGCAACGACCAATGCGCAGAAGGCAGCGCCGGCACCGGACTGAGCCACAGGCGCCAAGCACTCAGATGCGCCTGAAAACCGCGCGTCTCTTTTCCACCTCCAGGTTAGAAGCAGCAACCGTCGCGGAAGTGCCGCCCTCGGCGCTTCTGTTGTTCAACGCCGACTCCGATGTGTTACGGAGTTGCGAGCCGCCGCCGCCCTCTACTGCCCGCGCACCGGCAACGCCGACATGGGCGGTGCCCCCAACACGCTGCGAAACATTTCCTCTGCTTTTGTCGGAAGGCAACGACCGTGCGCCCTTCGCAGGTCTGCCACCCTTCATGGCGTGCACCTTCGTCATCATCTCCGCCTTCCGCCTGTAGGAGTCGTAGTCCTCCAGAATAAGCCGGGCCGCTTCCTCGTTCAGCGCGCTCTCCGCGTTTGGCTCAATCAGGAGGCAGCGGATCACCATGAGCACGTGACGCAGCCCAAGACTCGGAGTCCAGTCCCGCTTAAGCACGTTCACGCATATGTCTCCCTTTTCTGCCACGTTGGGGTGGAAAATCTTCGTGCGGAAGACCCCGCGCGGAGGCACCTCCGGGTACCCTCCCTCGAAGTACAGCGCGACGTGGAAGACGCCGCCGGCAAACGGGGTCCCCTCCGGCCCCGTGAGGTCAAAGAGCAACTCGCTCAGGTCGTTGGACTTGTGGATGCGCACGCCATCTGCGGGGTTCGCCTCAATGTCTTGAATCTGGCGCATGATGAGGCGCATCGCGGTGGCGGTGACTGGCATTTGGAGCTTTAACAACACGCGCGCACACAGTGAGAGAAAATTATATACCCACACGCTGCACTAGACACAAAGAAACGGCTCTCTTCTGTTGTGCCTCCTGCCTCGGCTGTGACCCTCCAAGAACTCGCACTTTTCTTGCTTCCCTTCTACCCACGCGTTGCCTCACCAGCGGGATATGACTGACAGGACAGGGCGCAAAGCAGCATACAAAAACAACAAGAAGAAAAAGTAAAAGGAAAAAAGACCAACGTGCGCGGCGTGGAAGCCGTGTGGGGGAATCCTGACGGCTCCCCCGGAGTAGAAGCAGCTGTGGTGCCAACCCCGAGTGTCACGGCGTCCACGAGGAAGCGGGGAGGCAACCCAGCAAAACTATAAAAAAGGAGAGCAAAAGGCTCAGCCTCCTGTACACTTTTTTTTTGTTTGTTGGCTTTTGTTGGCTTTTGCGGGCTATGCCTGCGTGTTCTCGCAGCCTCGATCCCCACTCTGGTCGGGAGCATTCATAGGGGGGCCACGTTATTTACATCCATTTCGCCCCGCCTGACCCCCGTCAAAACCAACCTCCTTCCTCCCTCTCCCGCACACACACACACAGACAGAAAGAGACACAACAACAGGAAAAAAGGGATGGTGAACGAGAATGCAGCTTGTCGCGATATCCGCGGCACAAAGAAGCCTCTGCCACGAACGCAATGAGACGTCTGGCTCCAGAGAAAGGAAGGCTACAGCGGCAGCAAGGAGGAGGAAGAAAGAAGCTACGCAGCAAAAGCAGGTTGCGGAGAGCGCCAGCATAAGAAAACATAAAGGCAAGGCAACACCAGACGCGATATCGGCCCAAGAAGAAGAAGCCGCCTGCCAATAAGGTGGATTTCCAGTTTCTCCCTTTTTCATTCTCCTTCCTGCCGACACAACTTGGCTCCGCGCCGCACAGCGGCTGAGACGGGGCGGAGGCGAACTTCCCTCGCTACGTCGGGCAGCCCTGCATCTTTGTCAGTGACAGAACTGTCGCCTGCCTTTCCTCAGCTCGCCGCCCATCCGACGCTGACGCGGCATGCAAATGAGGAAGCAAATCTATCTGCCATTCACAGGCCTCCTCGATTTCAATCTCGCGTCTGTGACAGCGCCCCGCCATGGCGAAGAGCGTGAATGTGAGCTTCACACGCGCTGCCGACTCCTCCTCCACTATGTTTTGGCGCCTGGGGGCTTCCAGAAACCCCTCCAACGCCTCCCGCTGCATCATAGAGGCGATGACAATACGATCTCGCTCTTCCCACTTGCTCAAGCAATGGCGCTCGTGCTGGTCGTGTAGGTCAAGTTGTTTGAAAAGGGTATAACCAGAGATTCGCCCACAAACGACCGCTCTTGGCATCGCTGCCCCGTACAAGAGCGGAAACAACTCAACTTGCTCCTTCAGACGAATACTTGCAAATCCGTGGGCGTACTGCGTGCACAGCTGCATCTCTTCAATGAGGGCGCGGAACAAGGCCTCTGTGGCCCCAACTAAGGAGGCAAACAGCCTCTGCTGGGCCCCCAGCCATGCGTGCGTGATCTCAAGCCGAGACTTCTCCTCCCGCACCCTGAGGCATTTCTGCCGCGCCAAATGCCGTTCCTTACGTCCCCGGTGACACAAAACCCAACGCCGCAGGAAACGCTTTAGCGGCGCCAACGAAGTAACCAAGCAGCGGTGTTCAGAGACGTAGAAATCCCATATTGGGGCAATTTGGCTGGCCTCTTCCTCTACAATATAACTCCGACAAATTTCTTCCATGATAACTACTTCCTCGATGCCGGCCAACAACGCTGGATGGAGCGAACCAAAAGTGGCGTCTGGCGGCATTGCAATGTCACTAATCGCCTCGTGACGCTCCTCTGCAACGAGTGCTTGACGACACACACACTCATCACGTAGCAGCGCCGAAACAAGCGTGGCGGCCTCACGCAGTCGAAGTCGTTGAAGCCCTGGTTGCGGCGCCCGTGGAAGAGTCACACCAAAGCGTTGCTCTCCTGCCGGTGAACTTGTTCGGTCCCCTACCGCCGCAAGAGCCTTCTGCGGCTGCTGTTGTGGCGGCGGCGACAACTGCATCGGCAACCCAGTACACTGCCGCTCCTCTGGGGTGGAGTGTGGTGTGTCCCAGCCACCTTCGCCTGACTCTTCTGTGAGTGGCAAAGAAGACCGAACCTTCCTAACTGGTGGTTCCGATCCTTTCGGGCTGGTGATGCGGTCCTCTCTCTCAAGAGAATCTTGTCTCGACTTAGTACTACCAAACAGGTACTCCAGCCACGCCTGCGGGGAGGATGACCACAACGGGTGGTCTTCTTGGCGTACGACAGCACGGACACTGTACACGGGGGGCTCCTGCTTTACCGTCAGTGGCACTCCGTCAACCGACGCCGGAAGCACCAGCTCTGGGGCCAACTGGGACGACCGCCCTTCACGCACGCGGTCGCCACTGCCTTGTGGGAATGGGACAGTGATGGAGATTTTTTTGGTGTGGGCAACCGCCGGCGCGTCAGCGTAGCTCGCAGGCCACGCCAGCGTGGAAGAGTACCGACGGTTACGCGGCAGTATAGCAGGCGGGGCCTCCGTGCCTTGCAGCCTAGACCTTGATTCAGACTCCATTATCCAACGCAGTTGCGGCCCTTGTGCCTCAGCTTCCGCTTGCTGCCCCTCCTCTTCCTGCAGCTGGGGCCACGAGGCCGCTGGGCCCCGCTCTCCCTCCCCTCGTCTCATGGTCTGGCGCCGCGGCAGGCAGGGTGTGTGTTGGGCGTCCTGCTTCCGTCCCCGCCTCCCCCCAGCCCCGCTTGGTTCCGCCGAATCCCTGACGTCTAGCCTGAGCTTCTCCACCCCGGTGCACCCGCGGGGTCGCCACAAGCACTAAAAAGTCAACCGCATAAGAAATAATAATGCGGGCGAAGACGCCACACACACACAGAGAGAGAGAGAAAGGGAGAAAGGGTAAACCCCACTTGAGAGGAAAGAGCGAAGAATGAGAAGCGCGTCACGGCCACTGGTGCAATCATGCATTTGAAGAGACACTGAACCCCCAAAGAAACAGGAAGTGAAGCCCAAATGTGTGTGTGCGTGTGTATGTGTGTGTATTTATGTGGTGTTTGCTTCTCATCACATCCGCAGGCGTCGGACCAGCCTGGACTTCTATGCCTTGAAACTCTATAGCGGAACCATTACTCCGGCATCTGTAGGAATTGTGTGTGCTGTTTTCCTTGTTGCACGTATCAGCAGAAAACGGCAGGAAAAGCACGGAAGACATATTGGCTGTCGCCCCCCGCTTTTTTTCCTATGCGACATCGAAGCAGCACACGCCATGGCTGCCTCATGCAAAGTAGGCCGAGGGGGCCTCGTTCTTCTCGTGGAGCAGCGAGTAATTCAGCCGACTCAGCTCCTCGCTCCCAGACAGAAGGGCCTCGGTGCGACGAAGCAGTTGCTGCAGCTCCCACTCCGTCTTTCGCTCCCTATGCCACTCTGTCTCGTCGAGATACTGCAGCTTCAACGCAGTTGTCTCATCCACGACGGCCGTGCGTGCCTCTGGAGAGAGACGAGAAAAGCGGCGGAACTGCAGTGCGTGCGCCACGTAGCGATACATCGGGTGGTGTGGAGCACACTTCACGAGCCGCATGGAACACTGTGTGGCGTCACGGAAGAGGCAGGTGGCCACCAAGTTGTCCTCGCTATCATCCACGCCTGGGACGAGGAAGAGAATCGTACGATCGTCAAAATGGCAACGGATGGTGCCGTTTGTCAGCGCCACAAACGTTCCTACAGCCTCTATGGAGCTTGTCAGGAACACTACGCTTCCCTCCGCCGCGGCCGCGGCAAGCGCGGGATCGTTGGACACAAGACGCATCTGATTTCGTTGAAGTGCGTCTTGTGCCGCCGCGTTGGCAGCGAGGGTGCTTCCGCCGGCACTAACGCCGGACGCCCCCGTGACGTGAACACCCGCGGCCAGAGAGGCAATGTCGCCCAGCGTCTCCTGCCGCTGTGCCCGTAGTGACGCGAGGTTCAGCTGGGAAAGTTGAATGCACGAGGCCCCCACCTCCGGCAGGTAGCGACCGCGATGAAGCGCGGCCAGCGGCGCCTCCTCAAGAATGCCGCTGAAGTACAGCGGTGCCGTGGCAATCCTTGAGGTCACCACACCCTCCGTGTTTTCACTCGCCAGCGCGGATGCGGCGGAGTCGTTGCTGCTGCTGCTGTTGGGTCCATCGCCCCCGCGCTCCGCCTCGCCGCTGCCGTCACCCGGTTGCCGCCCCGTTGCCCCGCCGCGTTGCCGCGGAATGACGGGTGGAAGGCCGAGTTCGCCATCTGGGCCCTGGTGGTACTGGTGGTAGCTTCCGTCGCGGCGCCAGTGATGGACGACGTAACTCTGGCCCTGCGGCTCAGCAACAACGGAGCTCTCGTCCTCACGCACCATTGCCAGCACAGAGCCAGGCGCTCCACGCGGCACCCAGCCGTCGCCCACGGGTGACCCGCCCGCCCCGCCATTGACGACGGCAGGGAGTTGGGCCGCCGCTGTCGTGGCGCCCCGCGCGAACAGACACCAATACACGGCGTGCGGCACACGTCCCACTGGATCTGCATCGTAGCGCCACACCACACGCTCGCTTGGGCCGTGTATGAGACGATTGCATGTTGCGTTTTGCATCTGCGAGGTGGCAATGAGCGCGTCCACGTGTTCCCGTTTCATCTTTGAAAAGCGGCAGGGCTGCCTGTTCTGCGCGGTGCAGGGAGTCGTGCGGTACATCATGCGGCACTCGTCCGCCTGCTGTTCTTCTCCGCAAGACTTTGCGCCCCCACCCGCGTCTGCCACCGCGGCCTTCGCCGCAAGCGCCGCGTCAAGCTGCAGCGCGACCTCCAACATTTCCGCCCACGGCTCCGGCGGGTCCAGGACGGGAAACGTTTGCTCCACCCACACAAAGTGAAACGCCCGCACGCTTTCCAGGGTTCCTGTAGAAAACCCATGTGCATCAACAGGACGAACAAAAATGGAACGCGCCATGTTGCGTTCCACCGCCGGCGCAGGCCAGCGCACCGAAAACGTTACACGACCCCCGTGCAAAGTCAGCGAGACACGACGGAGCGCACACCACAGCGTCGCCCGAGACCCGTGACGCTCAAACAGGTTTCGATCCGCCGCGATGACAAGGGAGTCAATCGGGCTGCTCTGGCGCCACACTTCACACGGTATTGCCGTAAGACCCGTGACGATGCGTGGTCGCGGGGAGTAGTAGTTGTAGATGTGCAGAGCCTCGCGCACCTTGGCCTCATACTTGGACAGCGTGAGGGGGGTAAAAAAGTAGTCCCCCTCAGACGCACTCTCCGCGGCGTCGATGTCGCCCTTGTTGTGGGTGCCAGTGAGGCCACCGCCGCCGCCACTTGCGCCCTGCGGCCTCAGGGGCGCAGTCGCCAGAGGGGGGAAGGCGACGAAGGTTTGCATTTCGTCACAGAAGGAGAGGACCGTGCCGTCGCCGAAGACAAAGTCGGCGGCGTTGTCCGTCCATGCGCATGCCCGAACGACACGGTCGGCAACCGCCACCCCGCTGTACGCAGGCACCGCCGCCGCCGCCGCCGTCAATCGAGACTGCGAAGGCAGGGCTTCGTACGTGAAGTGCGGGGACCGCAGCAGCGGCGCCTGGCAAGACATCTACTGTGAGCGCTGCGCCACTCAGAGAATAATCGGGAGAAGGGGCGGGGCATCCAAGTACCCAAAAGAGCAAACGACGCAGCGGCAGAAAGCGAGGCACAAAGGGTTGATGCGCCCCCCACGCCTCCTTCCTCCCCTCCCGCCATTCCTCAGAGACGGGGAGGACATCATCGGCATCGATACAAGTAAAAACAAAACAAAAAAACAGAGGGAAATGAGACGATACATACATATACGTACATATATATATATATGTCCGCACACACAGACACGATAAAAAAAGTCAATGAAATGGGCATGAAAAGCAAACCGAAAGAAAATAATAATAGTAATAATAATAACGCAGCATCCGCACACCACTCGCGATCATAGCGAGAGAGTGTCCACCAGATATCCGTAGAGCTCCATCCCCCCGAGCTCCAGGTGATGTTTGCCCACGGCATCTGGACCCGCAATTTCCAGCGCGATGTAACGAAACGCACATCCCAACCCAGGGAGGGGGCACCAGCTATGCCTCACCTGGGAAAAGACCTCTTCTTCGTCAATGGTGAAAGCTGCCACGTTAAACGGCGAGGTCCCAAGCATGCCATTACGCCTCTGTTCATCCAACACAACCCATCGCACTCTGTCACGGCTCCCAAGCAGGCGCCACGAGCGCAGTGCCGCGTGCTCCACGGCGTGTCCGTGACGGAGTGCGTACGCGGTGCATTCCACCCATCGTCTGTCCCCAAAATCAAGTTCAATTCGGGCATTCTCTTGTGAGGCCGTGCGGAGGCTTGGCATATGCTGCGGTACAGCAGCTGTGCTCCGCGTTGGACGCCCAGCGTCGCAGAGGGATGAGAGCTGGCCAAGAACAACTGGCGCGTCGCACTGAACGCGCACGGCATTACTCTCCACTGGGTTGCAAAAAGACTTCGTATGGCCTGCGGTGGCGATGTAGTAAAGGATGCCGCGCGGCAACATCATAGATGCATGCCTCTGCTCCACGGGTGCGCCTACCTTTTCGCTACTCGCCAGCGGGAGGTAAACGGTGTTGTCTGCAATGGGGATGGTGAGCGCGGAGGGGAGAAGCGACGGCGCCAGCTCCCGCACACACGTTAAGTGGCGTTCGGCCACGACAGGAGACGTTGCCACGGCGTACCGGTGCAGGTCCGGAACCGCAAAAAAGTCGCACTGCTTAAGCAGACCCGCCAGTTTTCGCTGTGCCGCAGCACGCCCAACAACGTCCCACTCCCGATCCTCCAACTGCGGCTTCTCCGCCGCCAGCTGCTTCTCGCTGGAGTCGAGGCTCTCGAGCAGCTCCCCGAGCTGGGAGCGCTGAAGGGCGCAGTCTTCCCGCACCATCTGGACGAGCTCCTCCTCCCGCTGCTGGAGCTGCTGCACAAATCTTTCTGTCTCCGCGTGGAGCCGACGGGTGGTGTCGCTCTCCCACACTTTCAGCAGCGCGAGGTGATCCTGCACCGCCGCGTGCAGCTCACGCAGGTCGTCCTGTCGCTTCTCTACCCGCTCCGTCGTCTCCACGGCGTGTTGCTTAATCTCCTGCCAAGCCCTCTCGTCAGGCACTGAGGCGCAGTCTTGCTGCATTGTTTGCAACGCCCTTTTCAAGCTTACCGCCTCAGCGGTCCAGAAAGTTGAGTTGCGACGTATCGCTCGCTCCAACTGCCAGCTTCCACCCTCTTTTTTGATGGGCGCCTTTTCCCCCAGTCGTGCGCAACCTCGCACTCGTGCCGATCAGAGAACAGGACACAGACGCATCCACACACACATACGCAGGTATGGAAGTATGCGCCCGAGCGTGAGTGAAAAGAAGGGGAACGGGGACAAAAAGAAAATCACACGTGCACGCAAGAAGTGATGAAATCACGTAAGCAGATACACACGCAGCCAAATTAAAAACAAAAGAGTATATATATATATAATGTATCCAGATGCTCGCATGACACCTTCGCATAAACGGGGGATGACAGCAGGGTATACATGTATATATGCTTAACGTATATGATTGTATATACGATGTCTTCCGGGGAGGGGGCGGGGATGACGGAGGCACACATTCTCTCACTTTCCGCCCAATTTGTCCTTTATAATTACACCGAGACTTCTTTTCTTTTTGTTAGTTACTACTCTTCGTTTTGTTGCTACTTGCAGCAGTGACCTCTTCGGGCTTTTGTAGGCGGGGAGGGCTGCACCGTTGAGTAACACGCTCTCCCCCAAACTGGCAGCGGAGGTGGTGGAAGAACAGTTCTCAACGGTTCAAAAAAGGAAAAAAAAAAAAGCAGAAAATCAAAAAAAAATAGAGGCACCATTTTTTTTTTTTTCATTCCTTCGGCTCAGTTTCGGAAACGTGGCTCTCTCTCTCTCTCACACACACACGCAATCAGACGGACGCAGAAAAGCGTCCACCGGCATGAACCATGCGGGTTGCGCTCTTTTCATCAATTTCTTTGCTTTCCACCGGCGTGTGTCTCACCCTTGCGGCAAGACGCGTCACGTGCACGTGTGTCTCCGTGCACCACATATATACACATATATATATATATATAGAGAGAGAGAGAGAGTTGTCGTGCGCGGCCTGTTGCTGTTGCGCTGTGCTTTTTATTCACAGCCGCCACCCTCCCCCACTTTTTCCGGCACCAGTCAGCTGCGCGTGCCCCATTACTCTTCCTCTTTCCCTCCACTGCCGCCCCCGGGTTTGCCGCACACCGCCCCACGCGAACCGAACTTTTTTGCGCTTCCGCCTCCCTCCGCCCTCGCCCCCGTTGCGGCCTCGCTTTTGTTGGTGTTGTTGAGTGCGAGCCTCGTACGGGTCGACCAAAAAGAAAGAAAGACAAAAAAAAAAGAACTGGAGATATGCCCTCCCAGCAGGCAGACGCATGATTTTTATTGTTATTATCTTTTTATTTTTGTTTCTCATTTCTTCCAATTATTCTTTTTT